AAGTAAAACTATCTCTAGGGCACATGAATATTGCCCCTGGCCGTTTCATCGTGCTGTGCACAGAAAGATGTCATGTGCTACTCACACCCAGACATTTGGCTATGGTGCAAGGGGCTGGATCTCTCCGTCCGAGAGAACAGTACCCTCTGGAGGCCAGTAAGGGAAGCGCAGGAGAAAGCTCACAAGCCTTAAAATCATTAACAGAGCTATTCTGTTGCTGAAGTGACTACTGAAAAAGCCTACCTCCAACTTCCCCAAAGGTCTTGATTACTTGCTTTATCTGCACCCTTATTCAGCCCATACAAGCAAAATGTGCAGGAGTTTTAGCTAAATAGCTGCTTACAGTTGATGCTGAGCTGAAATTGGACTGTAAATTCCTGCTTTCTGAAGAGAAAAAGAGCCATGGGACTGCTGTGAAATGAAACTGCTCCCTGGAGGCATGTGAATCCTGCAGCACTTGCTCTAGATCTGAGGTTTAGAGAAGCTGAGAGCCCTGCGCTTGTCTCATCAGTGTTCAGCTGTAATCAGTTTTCATCATGATAGCAAAGGGATCCATTTAGCTTGAGCCAACTCATGCAGAAAGAGCAGCTTCTGCAAAAGAAAGCTTTGGATGCAAAGCAGCTCCTAGGAGTAGCCAGGCTAGAAGGGAAGGTTAGCTCAGAAATCACAGTAATGGGTTGGGATGCTGCAAACAGGCTCCAGGTTCTCTCATCATCCATATCCTCCCACAACGACTGCCACCATTCTTCCTCCTACTCACTGAAGGTGGGAGAGAAGCCATGAACAGACATCTTCCTAATGCTCTACTCCAACACTAGCATGCAGGAGAGTAAATGACTTCTCAAAGTAATGGCCTGAAGCTTTTCATACCATTTAATGGTCAGTCCATATGAATTCCTCTACAGTAGACTAGGGGAGGAAAGCATCCACAATGGCCAGGCAAGAGTTTATCTTGCTTCCTTTGTTCAGGGTCAGTGTGTGTCTCTAGGTCAGAGCTTTCTTGCAGTGCCTCTTCCTGCTGGGTCTTGCACCCAGGTCCAAACCCTTGCAGACGAAACTCAGCCTGGGGGTTGGTGAGCACCACACCTCCAGAACACTGTGGGAGTGATGCCTTGCTTCAAAGGCAAATTTTACCCTGTGTTTATATCAGCCTACAAGGCATGAAAAGGCCTAGGAGGTCACACATCCGCCACTGTAATTTCAGGCATGATCAAACAGAAAAGCAAAAGTGGGGCTGAGTGAGCAAGTCTGCATTTAATTACAAATGGGTTTGATAATAAGCAGAGGCAAGAACAAAGCAAGTGAAAAACCTTCCTTTTTCTTCCAGGCCCCTGTTCAGGCCATGTAGAAACAGATGCGTAGAGGAGAATCTCAAATAAAATCCACTAACTACATTTTTTTTTCATTTTCAGAACTGCTACAGCAGCACTGTTTCCTATGCTGTGCTTTGACACACATCAGGGACTGATGGGCAGCCAGCCACCACTCACAATGCAGGGCTTGGGTCTTTGCAAGTATTTCTCAGGCTGGAGCTCAACCCTGCCGTTGTGTCTCAAGTCACATAAGCACAAGTACATGCACACAGTCATTCTGCTCTAAGCTGCATGGAGGATTTCATTTGCTTTAACATCCCCTGAATATGAAATGGTGGCTGCAAAACAGGATTACTAGCACAGAGGATGATCGACCCAGCTTGCAGGTCCCGCCTGGCCCAGGGAGGGGGCATAAAGCAGCTCCTAGAACACCAGTGATGCCCACAGAGCTAACTGACCCCTGCATCAGGTCATGCACTTACAGCCAGGAGATACTCTTGCTGACCTCAGAAGGCCCTGGAGCAACACAAGGATAGGAAACAAGCCCTAAAACAGACAGGCAAGAAGGCTTAGCGGGGTGAGTGGAGGGCTTCTTTTGAACACCAGGAGCTTTCCACCTGATTTTTGGTGACAGCAAATTAGAAGAGGTCAGTGAATCCCCTCATCCCACCCAATACCCCTAACAGCATCAGCAACAGCCTAACACAACCCAAGAGCATTACAGAAACACAAACAGAACACAGCATCAGCCTCAAACCCCTCCAACAAACTGACACCCACTGCTGACAAACCACTGCCTAGCTGGATGTCATGGGGGACACGATGGGAATAATGGGAAGGCTGGGAAACTATTACATCCCTGGGAACCAAGGGCTTCCGACCTTTCTAGCAAAGCCTGCTGAAAGAACTGGGTGGGTTGTTTTGTACTCCTGGCTTTAATTACAGCCAAGTGTTTAAGTTATTCTCCTCCAACCACCCCCGTGTCCCTCACAAGCACAAATCTAGCTTTTTATAGCACATCCGGTATGGATGTTAAACACATTCAGGAAATGCACTCTCAAACCCAAACATCTCTTCCTCTGGACCACTTGTGCTGCAAGGGTTTTTAATGTGGAGATGTGATGCCGGATGTTTGGTTTTGTGATGGCTACCTTCCTGGATTACTTCTGTCTGTTTAGAGAAGGAAAATTAAATAAATGCATGGTAGGCTGGCTGCATCCAGAAATAATGCAAGCTGCCTGCAAGGTGAAGAAAGAAAAGCCAGATGGAGAGGCCACTCCAAACTGCTTGAATGCCCTGCACACAGGGCAAGGCTTTCTTCTTTTCTCTTTTTCCTTTTTAAATAGCTGACAAAGCTCCTCAGGGCTGACAATGGCTCACAGCACAGTGGGTGTCCAGAGGCACATCTAGGATCTCAAATCACAGGTTTTTCACTGCCTTCTGTTGATACTGCCCCAGACTGGGTCTTATCCTGTAATGTACAAGGGAGAAATGCACCCTCTTCCCCAAAACTTCTATTTTAAGGGGCACCAGCAAAGAGCCATCAGGCTACACCAAGTTCTGTCAGTCCTCTGGTGCTGCTCAGACTTGTCACTAAAGTTTGTGGCTGTTCACTCCACAGGGGCAGGGCTTGGACAATAGCTGACTCTAAGTCTACAACCTGACCTTTGTAATTTTTGTAACACAAGGGGACTTGCTTATGGCTTTAAGAAACACTGCAAGCCTGTTAGTAATTCTCTCACCTGAAAATACCCTGGCTGACTTACCAGCTGGAAGCACCCTCCTAAGTCCAAAGGCAAGCATTTTTGCTGGCAGCCTAAGGAATCAGTCTTGGATACCACTCCAAGGTAGAAAACTCTCACACCAGAAGGCACACACTGGTCAGTCTGCCCCACATGGTCTCCTGCTGAACCCTCAAGAGCACTGGGCTGTTCCGCATGTTAATCAAAACGTGACTGCTACACTTCAGCTGTAGTATCACTTCACAAACCCAGGACACTCTGCAGCAAGTTAGGAGATGGAAGACACGTGGGGCTGCACTGCATCAGGGTTTGCTGCTCTGAAAGAAGGTAAGACAAACAAGCCCAGGGCATTTTTCCCCTCCTCTCACTGCAGCCAGGCCATCACACATCAGCAAACTGAACAACCACCTAATTGAGCTGCCTCCAAAATAATCACACTGGAGGAAAGTTAGAGTCTTTGAACTTGTTATTTCTTATATTGATTTTTATTCCATTTTTTCCATATTTGACGTGGATTCTTCACTTCAGATACCTGCAGCATTAACTCAGAATGGGCTCTAGCGATTTCTCCTGAGCAACTAGATCTCCAGCACAAGCAGCCATGCACCTTGGTAATGACTAGTAGTGCAGGCCCACTGGCCACTCACCTCCTCCTCCGGGCCAGTAAGATACAGCAGGAAACCTTGATCTCAGACAGTAGGAAGGTGACCAGCCCATGGGGCTTTCCCAGTGGGCGACCAAATGCACCTGCACTCAGAGCAGCAGGGCATTTGCTGGGGGAACTGGAAGGCAGGTCTGAAGGGATGGGACCGCCAGCAGTATGCACAGCAAGGAAGTGCCCCTGCTTCAACTGACACCCAAACCCCTTTTGTGCCCACCCAGACTGAATAAAGAGTGCCAGTCCAGGTCAAGGCAAGTTTTCCAGCACAAAACCATGTAACACAACACTTAGGTTACAATTAATGCACTCTGCAGGGACAAACCCTTGTGCAGCATGAACAGCAGCAAGACAAATATGCTCATCTACGCACTCATTCATCTCAGGGAACAGCAGCTGTCAAGTCACACACACACCTACTATGCTTTCATTGCCCTGATCTAACTACAAGCTATGCAACACTTGGCTGGAAAAATGAGTGACAATCCAGCTGCAGCAACTGAGTAACAGCGTATCTTGGGCAAATCAGCCTGAACTCACACTGGAGAATTGCTCTTCAGCAGATGGGAAAAACAATGTATTTATTTGATGGGTGTTGTTTCTATGTGACCAAATCATATGCAGCTTGTCCTTATAAATATAAAAAATAAAAATAAAAATGAATATAAATGACTTAAAAATCACTGCTGGAACATAGAAGCATCTCCTCTATTCCTGAGAAGCAGGTGATCTCCCAAGTTCATCAAGAATCACACAGAGGCAGGTCAGATGCTCAGGGGACCTGACTTCTTTGTATCTTTGACAAGCGTGACAGTCTCAGAATTAGGTGTTAGAGCTTGAACAAAGTGACAAATCCACATTGAAATTATATTAGAGAAGATGGAAAAGGAAATCTCACATTCAAATGCTCCCAGAAAGTTTATAAGAAGCCACAGTCCAGCCTGTCATGGCTTTTTATGGTCCCAAGAAGCACCTGTCAAAGGAACTGCAGACAATCCCAGGCATGTTCCTTGGCTACCTGCAGTTTCATCAGGCTGCTCAAGACATTCAAAACAGTATTTCCTTATTAGGAAGAGTGATTTATGAGGATTGAGAAATTCAAGCCTGAACCTACAAAGTGAGTCATGGGCACTCACGAGTTGCTTCCCCCACTTCCCTACCCCCCCAGTTGAAATCCTGTAGAAAACAATTACCCCTTAGCTTAAATACCACACAGCCTTTACTGTATGCTGAGTGCTGTCTTGCTCACTAAGGGTCTGTATCTGGGCAGAGAAATCACATACTTACCCAGACACTGTTGGAAGGGAAGTCGGAGCTGCTGACGGCCATTTCTCTTGCTGCTTCAGAAAAGCTTTAGCTTCTTTTGAGGTTGAGTCCACTTCTTTAGTCACTCTGTTGGAGGTAAAGCAGACAAACCAGAGGATAAGGAAGAGCTGTACTCACAACAGGAAAAACAAAGACCCAAGGAAACACAGAAGAGAGGTGCAGAAGTCCCCACACCATCTCCATCAGCTTCAGGCTGAAGAACAAGCATCTTGTTAAGATTTCATGCCAGTGACAAACCCTCTATAATTATGGCAGAAAAAAGGAAAAGAGTAGCTAATTAGAGCTGAGGGAGGAAGGGATTTTCTTTTTTTTTTTCAAACAAACAGGAATGTTTGTTCATTCAAGCAGGTCTGTCTCACTAGCAGCTACTAAATGCTCTGCTCAGGTCACTGGGGGCAATTCCAGGCTCTTAATTGGGCTCTTGATTTCCTCATTTGTGGGTCAGTGAGGCAGCTCTTATGCCACAGCTGTTCTGCTACCCACATCTCACAGGCTTGGCAACATCTGCATCCCAAAACAGAGCACAGAAACTGGCTCCAGGCATGTGGAATGGGAGGAAAAGTTCTGACAAGGCGGAATGCAGAAATTTGCTCTCAGTTTCTACTTAATTTTTGTTTGAGGCCCTGAGGGTGCAAAATACTGAACTTTAAAAAATACAGCACCCACAGCAGGGAATGTATTATAAACATGAGAACGAATCTCTAGAAAACACACTCAGTAATTAATAGAAAATCCCAGCTACCTTAGCCCCTCATTTACAATCACCTGCCTCCAGTGACACACTTTCCACACTTTCAGCAGCTCTTAATGAGGTTGTCCTGGTTTCCCAAGCTAATAATTTTGCTCCCTTGCTCCTTGATCCTCGTTAGTCACAGCATCTGCCCTGGTTACAAGTCAGGCTAATAGCTGCTTGCCTCCTACCCACCAACCCGACACTGCAGCTTCCATGTAGGAACTGGCTGGTGGACATGGAAAAACCCAAGGAGCTGCAGACCCAGCAGGGTTACTGCTGGGTTGGGCTTCAAGGGAAGCACTGTGGAGCTGTTTGTTAAGCCTGGAGGCACTGATGCCCTGAAATCCCACTTGCACACAACTAGTGCACCCATGTCCCCATCCTGACAGCATATGAAGGAGCTGTTAGAGAAGGGAAATCATTTCTCCTTCTCTACAGACCACAAATTTGGTGGAAAAGGCATGTTCAGAAATGAGTTCTTGTGCTGTACACCTCCTTCTTTGCCTGGTCCTGCCAGCGCAGATTAATCCCATTTCCCCCTGCACTGTCACATGACTTTCAAACTAGCAGCAGCCAAGGGGAAAGAGACAAATCCATGTTATGAATATTTAGAAGTGGGTGCTGATCAGATTGAAAAGAGGTGGGAAATGGGGAAAAACAGTTTGGGAAGAAACAAAAGCCTTGCTACAGCACTGTCCTAATTTAGGACATTCCAAACACACCATTATGGAATCACAGACTGGTTTGGGTTGGAAAGGACCTTAAGATCATCCAGCTCCAACTCAATGCCATGGACAGGAATGCCTCATACTGGACCAGGCTGCTCCAGGTCCTGGCCTGGCCTTGAACACTGCTAGGGATGAGGCAGCCACAGCTTCCCTGGGCAGCCTGTGCCAGTGCCTCACCATCCTCACTGGGAAGAACTTCTTCCTTACACCTAACCTGAACTTCCCCTGTTTCAGTTTAAAGCCACTCCCCCTTTTCTTATCACTACAGTCCCTGATGAAGAATCCCTCTCCATCATCTTTGTAGGCCCCCTTCAGATACTGGAAGGCTGCTATGAGGTCTCCACGCAGCCTTCCCTTCTCCAGGCTGAACAGCCCCAGCTTTCTCAGGCTGTCTTCATACAGGAGGTGCTCAAGCCATCTGATCATCCTCATGGCCTCCTTCGGACTTGCTCCAACAGCTCCATGTCCTTCTTATGCTAGGGTATCAGAACTGCACACAGTGCTCAGCAACAGCAGTCACACACCAAAGGTTACTGTACATCCAGTTTCCTTCAACAGAATGAACTTGGTGTCTTTGTGCTGCAATCAGCCAGAATGCCCCACAGAGCTCCCCCAGGCACAAGTGCCATGTTCCCATGAATACAGTCACACAGTCTATTTAATATCAAACACAGCAGCCAAAGAGCTGGTGCCATGTCCTGCCCAGCTGCGGAGCAGCACCATTTCTCATGCACTTCACCGTGTTGGTTTCTGGCATGGCCGCCCCTCTTCTCATCACCCCCTGCACTCTTGTGCCGCTGGAAGCATGCAAAGAGCACATGAGCAGCCATGAGAAACATCAGGCAGACCCTAAGCACACAGGAATTTGAGAGGCACAGCATAGTAACCACACACCTGGAAAAAACCCTCTACACTGGCCTCAATACAGCCACAGGACCTGCTCCTGGGTTAGATCCCAGCCGAACCCTGCACAATTCTGGGACTTGAAGAGCGTAAGACCAAGAGGAGGGATTGGGAAAGGAAGCAGAAGTCAGAGAAAGCACACCATATCACCAACTCTGCTCCCACAAGCCTACAGGAATTGGGAAATTAAATAGCTTAACAGGGTCTGGACAGGCACAATCCCAGGACAGATGGGTCTTGGAACAACCTGGTCTAGTGGAAGGTGTCCCTAACCGTGTCAGGGGGTTGGAACTGGATGAGCTTTAAGGTCCCTTCCAACCCAAACCAGTCTAGGATTCTATAAATGGGCAGCAAGTCTTCAAAGTTTGTGGCAGAACTTGGATGTTAACCTCATGAGTACTTTCAGCCTCCTTCACCAACGGAGAGACAAAACTGGCCAATGTCTGTCCTACTAGTTGAGGTAAAAGAAGACACCAAGCTATGATGCACATGAAAAACGGCTCCAGGGATTTGCCAGCCTGCAGTCTGACAGAATTAGCATGCTGCTGGTTGGACCAGCACAGCTCTTGGAGCAGGAAAATGCTCAATCCCAGAAAAGGTGAGAAGGTAGAAACCTCTACCTGCTGAAGCCCCTCAACATGATGCACAGCCCTTCAATGACAGACACTTCAGCTTTGATGCCTGTGTGCTCCACCACCTCAGTGTACCAGCAGCAATGGCTGGGCACAGTATATAACTCCATTTTTGATCCCTTTGGCCTACCAGCAGCTGCTTTAGAATGTATTTTTGAAGTTGTCCACTGTAGAAACTCAGCTGCAAAGCTGCAGGCAACCTGTTCCTGCAGGACTGGCCAGCTAGGGACAAAGGAATGCATGATAAATGTAATTAAAAGTGACCTTTCAAGGCAATTTCACCATAAGATCCACTTATATCCTCATAGACTGAAACCAAAGCAGCTCTGAGGCTGGTGTGATGCCAGCAGCAACTCGCGAACCACTCCACAGGAGTGACAAAATAAAGAATATTAAAGGGCTTTATAAGGTTTTAATTCAGGTTATGCACATTCCAACCTTTTCCAGATCCCAGGCCAAGAAGGAAAAAAAAAAAAAAAAAAAATCCTCTGGTCTGCATTATTATGGGAGACAATAACTCTCCATGTAGAAACCAAAACATTTCTTGCTCTTCATGGGGAGAAATGAGAGCCATTAATCCAGCTGGAAGAAATCACAATCATTACTAAGGAAAATTACAAGACCTTTCACTTTTAAATACTTGATAAATAACTATTTGCCTGAGTGTTTACTGGGATGCTATTCACATATTGTAATCCAGGAATAAACATGGAAATAAGTATATTGTCAGGAACAAAATAAGTAGCTACTGTCTTGCTCACTTGCAGATCCCGTAATTCACACACAAAACTGCTCACTCTCCTCACTTTCCCATAAAGATTTCATTATATTGCTATGCTACTAAATTGCATAATAAGACTTCCAGAACACAGAAGAGTTATTAATTTTTCTGGACTATGCTGGAGCCTGGTACACTGACAATGCTACTGTAGAAGATGCTGTGCAACTGTAAAATAGAAAGGTCTCCCATATATAAAGTTATTATAAGGAAAACATGCTGGAAACGAGATCGCTAAGTCTCTCTGATACTTACAGGTGTCCTCCTAACTTAGGACGCTTCATCTCTGAACCAAGCTCAAAGTGGTACCCAAGCATTTCAGCACACTCAAACCCACCCATCCTCCTGTTCTGGTCCCCAGGTACGGATACATTACTTCTAACTTCCACTCAAGAACTTGCCACCCTTCCCTTCACCTTTTCCAACTGAAATGCTGTGATTTACATGCATGGAAAAGGCCCCAGTCATGCAGGCTGGGCATCAAGGCACGTGAAGAAAACCCACAGGCTGTCCCAAGAGTCATTCCATAGAGCATACACAGTACTGAACTGTAGCACCCTAGTTTAAGAAGTGCTTGATCTGTTCCCAGAAGTCTGCATAGCCACCTAAGTAGCTACATGGAAGGAGGAATACAGGCTAAAATGAGCACCCCATTCACATAGCTCTATCTAATCTACAGAAGGGGGTTAAACTCAAATTTTCATGCTTTGGTTCAGTGGCACAGCAAGCCTGATACACGAGCTTGTCTCCTGTGCTCTGGTCATACAGTGGGTGCAAAGTTACCAGGCGTGAAGGGGGTCCCAATTTTACACATCATACCATTCCTGCTCCCATGGCACACGCAGCACCAGCATCCCAGGACTCACCCCAGTGCAGTGGTCAGGTTCCTCTGCTCTAGCACAGCTGAACCCAGTCCTGTCTGCAAGAAACTGAGCTAGCATAAGGGATGCCAAGGGTGCAGTGTCAGTAAAGCACCTGGCTCAGCAGTGAGGTGCCCTGCAAGCCCTTCCAGAAGTGCATCAGCATGGAGGGGAAAAGGAAGCAGTGTCTTTGAGGCAGGACAGGGAAAGCTGGAAAAGACAAACAGCCACATAGGGAAGGCTTGCAGGCTTCTGTCCACAGACTGCTGTGTAATAGCAACCTTGTGCATCCCAAATGCCAAAATCCCTCCAACTTACACCCATGCAGCTGCATTCTCCTCAAAATGCCTGATGCACATCAGGCTGAGGAAGCACATGCTGGTATTGTGGTATACGGGGACTTGGAGCTGACAAGATAGTTAGGATCCCTAA